AGCAGTACTGTGCAACAGTTGAAAACACTGCAAGGCCCACCACACATTACCAGATGGTGCGACGGCAGGACGTGGATTCAACAAAATCTGAGGTTCGCTCAAGAACAGAATTGCTGGAAAATGATCTTGCATATGAGCGAGCCAGAGGTCAGGCCATTGATCTGGCATTGAGTCAGATGAGAAAAACTCTCCGAAAGCAGAAGGAGAAGGCAGAGAAGACTCTGGAGACATGTCAGACCTCCCATCAATTACAGCTGGAGGACCAGAGAGCAGAGACCAGAGAGACAGTAGCAGCCTTGAAAAAGGCAGAAGAACAACTGGAAATGGAGCGCTTCTACTTCAAGCAGGAGATGAGGAAATCCAGAGTTTCTCATCTGGCTAAAATGAGGCAACAGAGAGAGGAGAACAACAAGCTCATGGCCTCTCTCAGTACAGCTGAACAGAAAATCGCAGAGCTGGAAATGACCAAAGACAGCAACAAGAACCCTGTGGATGGTCCAAAAGACAAGAGCACCATGACCTTGCGTGTTGGTGATCTTGAGAGCCACTTCAAGAAAATGAAGATCACAGAGTGGTGTGATACCATCTCTACTGATGCCCGGCTCCAGGATTTAACCCCATCTAGGAAAAGAACAAGATGCGAGACTTGATTTCACATCACGACGTGTAAACATACACAGTGCCAGTCAAAAGATTGGACACACTTGGGATGGGAATGGGATTGGGAAAGTGTGTCCAAACGTTTGACTGGTACTGTATGTTCATTTTCGTTTCTATTCATTTTTTCAGTGTTGACACTTTTTGTGATTCTTAAAAAGAATTCAACACTAAAAAAATGAGGCCTCATTTTAGCCAGACAACAAGCTCATGACCTCTCTCAATACAGCTGAGCAGGAAGTTGCAGAGCTGGGAATGACCAAAGACAGCAACAAGAACCCTGTGGATGGTCCAAAAGACGAGAGCACTGTGACCTTGCGTGTTGGTGATCTTGAGAGCCAACTTAAGAAAATGAAGATCAGAGAGTGGTGTGATACCATCTCTACTGACGCCCGGCTCCAGGATTTGACCCCACCCAGCAAAAGAACAAAGTGTGAGACTTGATTTTGCATTACAACATGTAAACATACACAGTGCCAGTCAAACGACTGGACACACTTGTGGTGGGATTGGGACTGGGAAAGTGTGTCCAAACGTTTGACTGGCACTGTTTGTTCATTTTCGTTTCTATTCATTTTTTCAGTGTTGAAAATTTAAAAAATAATTGTGATTCTTAAAAAAAAAAAAAACACTAAAAAATAATGTCATATTTGTTGGTCTGTTGTTGAATATCTTCAAAAAACAAGGAGATATTAATAACAGTTAAAGTGTTGGTGATAAAATTCTAAAAATAAGTGCACATCATTCTGCTAATTTCGGGTACACTGTCAAATATTTTGGTGACATTTGGTTAAAAATTAGATGTAATAGGATATGTTGTGCCTACAGCACAAATTTCAACAAGACAATGAATATGACTGTGAGCTAACCGTTACATTGATCTGAACATCATTTGATAGATGTGACATCTAGTATCCAAAGAATGTTTGTGGCAAAGGTGGTGGCATTTAGATGAAGACTTTTGGAGATATGTTAATCAAATTCCCAGAGGAGACAGCCCACACTAGCCTCAGACCAGATATGGTCCTCTGGTCTAGGGATACCAAACAGGTGGTGCTCATAGAGCTAACAGTACCCTGGGAAGAGAGGATTGAGGAGGCGTTCGAGCGCAAGCTCAAAAAATATCAAGCCCTTATCCTCGAGAGCCAGAAAAATGGATGGAAGGCCTAGAATCTACCAGTAGAGGTCGGCTGCAGGGGCTTCGCTGGGCAGTCACTCTGGAGAACACTTGGATGGTTGGGGATCGAAGGTGTGGCCAGGAAGCGGCTGGTAGGCAACATCACCAGGCAGGCGGAGGCAGCGTCCCGTTGGATTTGGATTCAGTGGGAGGTGAGGTGGCAGAGCCAACCTGTCGAAGGACCAACGGCATGGAGTTGGGTGGTGGTCAGCGGGGGTAGATCCAGGACGCTGGATCTGCTGTCAAGCCCTCCCGATGTGTCATGGGCTTAATTTGATGAAACATCAAAAAAGGGAGGGTGCCCATCTGATGACCTGCTGTAGCCACTCAACTCTTGCCCAGTGCTGGCGCCTGAAAGATGGAAGGAGAGGAGAGAGCGATGCCACTGGCTCACAGATGGTGCAGGGCAGAGTACCTGTAAAGGTGGGCCAGCTGCGATAACCCTTTTGTAGTTTCGTCACAATTTTGTGGATGTGCTAAAAAAAACTTTCAGCTGTGTAGGACACACTGGTGATTTTTTATTGCTTTGTGAAATATGGAACGTGAAATGTCTTGAAATTTAGATTTGATGTAATAAGCCACGCCCCCTTTAAGCAATTATTTTCAAATTTTGTGCATCGACTGAGACGTGACCCTAAATGATGCAAACCAAGTTTCGTACAAATATCTCTGGCTGATTATGAGATATCAACTTTTTGCCTATTGGTTGATTTGAATCAAACTTTCAGGCTATTATTCCGATACTTTTGTCGACTTTTCCTACAAGTTTTGTGACAGTTGGCTCAACGGTAAAGGAGTAAAATTCATTTATGCGCTGAGCCACGCCCCCTCTAAAGTTCACTGGTCAATATCACCAAAATGCAATGACGTATCAATAAGTCTTTGACAACGTTTACAAAGCTTCATCCCATGATGATTCACATAACGTTTGGTACAAATCGGACCTACGCCTTAGGAGGAGATGTCAAAAAGGTGTTTTTCAAGAAATTCAATATGGCGGACATTCTAGCCGGCAGATCTTTAGGATTATGTAGGCTTTGGTAGAACCCCTTCACCTGACCATGTGTGTCGAGTTTCCTGTCAATCTGACATACGGTCAGAGATGGGGGACTCGAGTCACATGACTTGACTCGAGTCAGACTCGAGTCGCAAATATGATGACTTGAGACTTGCTTGACAAACATTGATAAAAGACTCGACTTGACTTTGACTTTGTATTCATGACTTGAGACTTGACTTTGACTTGAGACAGATGACTTGAAAGGACTTGGCTTTAATTCAATATGAAAGGCACGCTAAGCACCGCTGGGCGTCACTTCTGTTTACGTTCAACAATGTTATCAAACACAATGGAGCTAGCTCGCCCCTCCCCCCCTCCCCCTCTGTGACTCTGTCATGAACGAGCGATAGCTGCTAGTTACCCTGGATTTACACACCTGTTCAAGGGATAGTGCACCCAACATGAAAATTCAGTGTTCTGTCACTGATTGATGATGTAAGCAGCCTACCTGCAAGACACAGGTGTGCCCCATGTTCTAATCACTAATTGATGTCACATTGTCAGTAGGTATTATATACTTGTGTTCAGACTGTTTGGACCTCAACCCTGATGAAGGCTCATTTGAGGAGCTGAAACGCGTTGGTCCCTGTTTTTAACTTTGTACCAGCCATGCCACAATAAAGGCTTTTTAACTTTTTTTCTAAAACAGAGCTGCCTTGGTTTTTCAAGTTTTTGTCCTGCATTTAACTCTGACTGCTTCCTTTTTTGGTATGTGCAAAGATTCAACTTGATACATTTTTTGATGCTGCTTTGCACCCTCACCAAAGAGCACCTGTTTCACTGATTTTACTTGAAGATCCACGCAGCGCTTCCACCCTTTTTCTCATGAAAATTCACCCATTATCTACTCACCCTCATGCTGATGGAGGATCAGGTGAAGTTTTACAGTCCTTGTGGAATCAGTCTGGTTAAAAAAGGTTTTGTGAATTGGTTGCAAAGAAACAGTAGAAGTTCATAGGTGGTATACAAAAATAGAACCAACAGACTGGTTTTATCCAAGGATTTATTTTTGTTTTTGTGTTGACTGTGGTTTATTAAGGACCATATAGAACAGATGGATAGGGAGTTGGTTGTTTTGGATTTGTGACAAAGCTGCAGTCTTTTCAACTCAATATGACTTTAAGGTTTAAAAAAGTAAGCAACAACTTTATGGGAATAGTCCAAGATTTTGGTAAATACGCTTCTGCTTTGTCTTGCCAAGAGTTAGATGACAGGATCAACGCTACTAACTCTCATATCTGTGCGGTAAAAAGGAACTAAATGAAGTGCCTTAAGCTGCAGTTTGTCTTGAGGCCACTAAATTCTGGCTCCAACAAAACACCAACTCTGTTTAGGTCAGTACAAACACCGCCAGAGCTACAGAGTCAGATTGGTTTCACTTCTTAGGGTTGTTTTGTTCACAACTTTAGAAGTGTATCTTTCTCTGAAGAAGATGTTAAGGCTAAAATAGAAGTAAGTTTGGGAAGTGTATTCCTCCATTAACAGGTGTGTCAGTAAGCTCAGCCCCATCTACATTCTTTCCCCTTGCCCAAATTTAGTTTTCCAATCTTAAATAACTCACAAAGATCACAGCACGCAATAACCTCCAATGTCTGTAGGTGATGTCATCCATTTTCTCTACAGATATGACATAAAGTACCCTGCTGTGACAAAATGGAGGTCCATAACTTCCATAACATAAATTCAATGTGATGATAGACTCGAGATGTGTTGAGGCCGTAGAAAGGAGGGAGTAGAAAGTTTTGAGGTATGAGTTTAGGTAACGCTTATTGAGCTCTAGTGAGTTACTGATTGTAATTGATTGACTGGATACAAATAGCTGCTGCCAGGTAATTAACGTCATGCATCTTCTGAATGTTAACAACCGTTCTGAAAGCATTTCAAAAGCTGTAACACCATGTTCCTCACCAAGAGTATAACACAGAACAGGGAAATAACAGCACAATGACAATACAGAGACGGGAGTCAAAACATTGTGTTTTTATGTTTCAAGTCTTCTCCTAATTACCCTGGGACTTAACTTTACACAACTTTAAACAAATTTTTTGAAACAGATTTTTTTCGAAGACTTATTGTCAGGAGACCTGTGAGACAGATTGAGCTTACCTCAGTGTAGAGTCCCACGTCTCTGTAACAGTCTGTACCAGGAATACGACCCAAAACAACAGTGGAGGAGCTGGAGGACGAGGACAATATGAAAGACGGGAATATTAATGAGAGTGCACGTCTGCCTGGGAGACGAATGAGAGGGGGGAGGGAATACAAAACTTATAATATGTATGAAAAATATGATGAAATGAGTCAGAAATCTGCACAATATCCATTTGACACATACAGATTCATATCAAAATGATTAAACAACAAGAAACACCCTTCCTCCTATGTTACGCTGATACTGATCTTTAAAGGTCCACCGTGTAGGATTTCGGAGTAGCAGTAGAGGAATATAATATAATATGTGGGATTTCTTAATGTATAATCACCTGAAAATAAGAATCGCTGTGTTTTCGGTACCTTAGAATGAGCTGTTTGTATCTACATAGTGAGCGGGACCTTGTCCACAAGATCACCATGTTGCATCGCCATGTTTCCACAGTAGCCCAGACCAGACAAACCAAACACTGGTTCTAGATAGGACCATTTGCTTTTTCACATTGGCCTCCTTAGTTTGCAGCCCCTCCACGACAAGAGAGTTAGAAAAAAAGTTAGTTAGTCCAAAGTTTTAACTGTTCCTTTTGGAGAGGAGGCGGACACCAGTGCCCAGGTCAGGGGCCCCTGCCCTCGACTGTGCTGTTAAAAAGTCTGATGGCCGTTGGGACAAATGACCTCCTGTGGCGCTCCGTCCGTGAACGCAGCGTGATGAGCCGCCTACTGCGGCTGCTGCTGCCAACTGACATTTTTTTCCTTCAACAACAAATACACATGGTCAGGTTTAGGCAAAGAAAAATGCATGTGGTTATGGTGGTTAGGTTTAGGAAAAAAGTACAGGGTTTGGCTTTAGAATTTTACAGGATGCGGGTACTGCTCTCCTGGGTGAAAGTCGGTGTTTGTTGGACCCATCCAACACTCCTCCCTCCCGCCTGGCCCACTTGGACTTTTGTCACCTTAACTTTCGTCCTTGTCCTGCCGCGTTTCCCCCTGTTAAACTACAATGGCAACCGGTGGCATAACATGCTGACGTTAGTACGCCTTTTTGTGTTGGTTTCTGACACCGCAAGTCACTGCCCAAGTGCTGGATTTTGACGACTTTGGAGTGAGACTGGGTTCTGGAGAAACACTGATTTGTTACATCAAACTGCTTTATTCAGTGTTTTTACCAGTTTGAATCACCTGCTCCAGTAGTTTTGGAGAGGAGGAGACCTCTGCGGGTTATTCAGCTCCCGTTAAAAAACCCCTGAACGAACAAAAACTGAAGGAATTCTAACCAGGAGAAGTTTCAGCTGGTTGCAATCTGCAATCCTCACTGCTAGATGCCACTAAATCTCCTTAGTTCTTACACACTGGACCTCTAATTGAGATAAAATGCCCCATGTAGTGCCTAGAAAAATGACATTTACTGACTGTTGTGTCCTATAGATGAGTGTGAGCAGAGAGAAGACGACAGCCACAGCCAGACCCAGGTCCAGGTTAAAGACAAGCGTGGAAATCAATGAGGCTACCCACACCAACTGAAGAGAGGAGGGAGGAGAGACGACCAGAATCAGAGGGAAATCAGTACTGTTTGTAATCATACGTCTATGCTATGAGCATGAACATGGATTTGTGTGTGTATGTTTGCGTGTATGGGTGTATGTGTGTAGCCTACCAGGTCTAATCTGTCAGATTTCCAGAGCACACACACATCTTTAAACTGAGCCAGGATCCCTTGCAGGTTCACCACAATGATGACTGCCAACACTGCCTGGAACACACAGCAAGGCATTAGTGAACTCTGGCTGAGACAAGTGAATCATCCTGACAGTGAGTCTCATCCAGATGGAGCATGACTTGACATTTCTTAAAACATCTTCACTGATAAGCTTTATTATTCTATCACCATTCTGTGGTGGTTTACAGGAAGCCATGCTAGCTGGAGAACGTTCGAGAAAAACTTTTAGTGCACTTGCTTTACAACATATATGATGGTCATAAATAATATGTGTTATCTCACATGCACTTTACCTTTGGCAGCTGCTCAAAGAGATGGCCGATCTTCAACAGGATGGTTAAAATCACGAGAGCTGATATCAAACTGGCCATCTAAGACACGAGATTAAAACACAGCGGGACAATAGGTAAAGGAAAACTCACAACAAAGAGGAGAAAGACCATTTGAAAAAGATGTATAAGGAGCTCTATTAAAAGATCAGTCGATGTAGTTTACCTATACAGTCTTTAACACAGTGCAAATACAAAGATGGGTTCAGGGATTTCTGTCTTTTGGAACAGAATATGATACCTGTGATTTGACACCGATGCTATCCTGGACCATACTGCGAGAGAAGGAGCAGCTCACGGCGAAGCACTGGAACATTCCTCCTATGGTGTTACACAGACCCAGAGCCAGCAGGTCCTGAGGCAGAGACAGACAGCTGCAATTTGAAAAGTACACACTGAGACTGCAGCCCATCTCAGGGATACTGCCAGAGTGAGCTCCCTGTTGGTTATGTCCAAGCCCTGAAATAATATTTGGGGGTAATCTCTCCAGAAGTATTGTCTCAGAGTTTGAAAGGGTTGTCTTTAAGGTGTAATGAGAAGTTTAAGGTGATGGTATACTGTTGAGTTTGTTGCTCATTAAACCAGAGACCAGGGAGTATGGAACTGGATCAAAAAACCGTAAGTGAGGAAAGTCAGGCCCACTTTAAACCATGTCAGAATCACTGCTGGGAACAGAGTCATGATTTTGCCTCATCAATATTTCCGAACTTAATATATTCAGGCTTAATAGGCACGTCTTCCCTTGCAGAAATCTGTTGACTTTCCTCTAATCTGTGTTGGCAATCAATAAGAACTGTAATAACCTCAGCACAACTCACCTCTTAACTCCCTTGAGCTTCAGTAGCCTTTTGTTCATAAGACATGAGTATGATACTGTAGCTACCCAGAGCATGGATTTAACTAAAGTGTTTAGTAAAAGGACATATCTGTAAAACATGGATGTTGCAGCTTCACCACTGTGGCTGTGGATCAAGGCCTCAACAGCATTCAGATCACAGCAGCAGCTTTGTTGAAATGTTGTGTATCAGTGGTAGGTCTAGCTGCAGTGTTACAAGTGTAGAGCTGGTCTAAAGTTAAGATAAGATGAGCCTTTATTGATCCCCAGAGGTGAAATTCAGGTGTTGCGGCAGCACGGAGATGGGAACAAGTACAGATAAATAGGGATATAAAAAAATAAGGATAAATACAAAACAACAAATAAGAACAGAAGTAAAAATATGAACCATACAAGAGCAATTAAAGATACGAGTAAGTTACAAGGCACAGAGACACGGTCTGGCTAATAGCAGCAAGTCAGCAAGTCTAGAATATGATGAATCGTATGTATTGTATATTACAGCGGTAACACTGTATGCTAAAAGTATATTAGAAAAGCGTTTTGAGAGCATGTTATAACATAAGCTGGGGTTTTTGATCAGAAGCACTTAGAAACAAGTTTCCAAGCCAGAAACATGTGGTTTGGAGTTTTCTTGAGGGGCAAGCCAGTTCTGTATAATTTCTCTAGTGCTTCAGAGAAATTATACAGAACTTGTCTTACAACATAAGAACAAAATATTACTATATTATTTTAAAACTTGTGCTGAGATTGGAGGACTAATTTCCTCCTGTGCAAAAAACTGTTCATCTTTAAACTATTTCTTCTCACTTTTCTGCACATTATCTCAATCTGTAATCAAAAGATTCCATCATGATTATGCCTCTGTATATAATATGCACTTTTATATCTTTTTTTTTTTGCAGATTTCTAAAATGCAGACCCTACAACAGAATTTCAATCTCTTTGTAGTTGTGTGGCTGAAGTTAGTGAGAGTTATAACTGCCATGTGTATACCTGACTGGAGTCCACCTGGTAGCTATGTTTGTTGGCGAACACTGAGCCCATGGCTGAGAGGAAGCTGAAGCCGACCAGAGCCACAGATAGAGCTGGGATGAACAGCTCTTTGGCCTGAGAGAGGGAGGGAAGGACTGGGGAGGACAGGCTAGAGAAGAGGAGGAGGAGGAGGAAGAAAAAAGAGAAAGAGAAGTCAGCTTGATTAACTGCATCATTAATGGATTCATCCCATGAATTACAATCATTCTCTTAAAGCTTTCCAGGATAACACAATAAAGCTAACTGGCTTATTTTGTATGATGAGAACAAGAGTGTGAAGAATGGGAGGTTAGAATGTCACAGTGTCAGAAACACGAAGAGAAAAGATTCATAGAGCTTTAAATTATATTATGATGGAGGCATATTAACTAGCAAACAAATATATTGGCTTCCCAATATATTGGTGTAGACAGTATGTGCAAGAACTAATAAAATAAATCATGCATTAAAGGGATAGTGCACCCAAAAATGAAAATTCAGCCATTATCTACTCACCCATATGCTGATGGAAGCTCAGGTGAAGTTTTAGAGTCCTCACAACACTTGCAGAGATCCAAGGGGAGAGGAGGTAGCAACACAACTCCAGCTAATGGAGGCTTACGGCGCCCCAGATTCACATGTCCAAAAACACATAACTGAAACCACAAAATATCTCCATACTGCTCGTCTGTAGTGATCCAAGTGTCCTGAAGCCCCGACATAAAAAGTTGTTTGGAAAAACGTCATTTGAACTCTGTTTTTAGCTTTGGGTGAGACCGTGAGACATGGGCACCGCATTCATGTGTGTTCACATGCTTTCGCTGGTCTCGCGCACAAGCGCACACGTGAGCGCGGTGCCCAGAGAGGCAGTGTTGTTTGGACGTATGAATCTGGGGCGCCATAAGCCTCGATTAGGTGAAGTTGTGTTGGTACCCCCTCTCCCCTTGGATTCTGTGAGAACTCTAAAATTTCACCTGAGCCTCCATCAGCATATGGGTGAGTAGATAATGGCTGAATTTTCATGTTGGGTGCACTATCCCTTTAAATATTTTTCATTTCAATGGGCAATCATCAAAGGCTTTGAACTGAACTTTTTCCTCAGAAGCAGCACTATGTCACAGTCTGCTCTGAATAAAATAATACTTTGTAGACTTCACTCTAAACTCGTATTGCTTTAAGTCTTCAACAAAGTAAAATCAACACAATAGTCTTCAAAAACAAAGAAAAGCAGAGGGAATGATGAGAAAATGACACAGTTCTACTGACCCACTGGGTATGTGTCCCACCACCTGGACTGTGTGCTGTCCAACCAGATCCATCTGCACTGACAGGATGGTGCCCAGGACAATCTGTGGGGGAAAAACAATGGACTTGACATTTTCTGCACAAAGCGTTCTGTTTGGAAAACAGCAATATACAGTATTCTACATCTAAATGTCAGATCGATCAATCTGTTCGTACACATGCACACAAAACCACAAACATACACATTATCATGATCAGATACTGTCGGTCCACTGACAGAGCTAAAGCTTTTCAGATGCTGGTGGTGAGCTGAAGCCAGTTTCTCATAACACGCTGTAATTTATCAACTGAGCAGACTATGACGTGAACTCACAGGCAACGGGTTCTATGGAAATCTGGTATCTTTGTAGACCAAAGCTCAGCATACCATTACTGTAAAATTCTTGCTATGGTGCTACAGGTTCAAGATTTTATCCATCCATGTTAAATGCACTCTCTGACAATGTAAAAGTTATGAAATTTCATGATGATAAAAGTTCTTTTAACCTTTATTTTTTAAATAACAAGCTAAATATTTCCACTTGTCATAGTGACTTTTGCATAATTATCTCCACACTTTAATGTTTTAGTTACAATAATTACTTTTAAATAAGCTCAAATCACTGAGAGGCTTGAAAATATATTTTTAAAAACTGAATAAAACAAAGCCTCATTAGAAGACAGAATGGTGAGTAATTAGTGGCCAGGTGCAGATATGTATTGTATGTGGGGATCTGTGGTTTTGGTGATAAAAAAACTGATTTTTATATAACAGTGAGTCATTCATCAGTTCATCACTGTGGCATCTGTCCATCTGGGCATGACTCTACTGAGCGTGTGTGTGTGTGTGTGTGTCCCTCACCAATATAAGTTCCCATGGTATGGCGACAGGCAGCTTGTTCTTAAAGCGCTCATTGAGCACCTTGCCTACGATGAGTATCACCATGGAAACCGCGGAGACTGACAGCACTCCTGGAACAGCTTTGGTCACTCCTTGCAGAACATCCTTTAAAGTCTTGAAGAGGATGTGCACACACACACACACACACACACACACACACACACACACACACACAGAGTTTCAGACATTTTGTAAGTCCTTAAAAGGAGCAGTGTGGAAGATTTAGTGACATCTAGTGGTGAGGACTGCAGATTGCAACCAGATGAAACGTCACCAGGTTAGAATTCCCTCAGTGTTTAGTTGTACTGGGAGCTGAATTATCTGTAAAGGTTTCCTCTTCTCCAAAACAAACCGACCAGGTGATTAAAACAGGTAAAAACACTGAATAAAGCAGTTTCACTTTACAAATAAATTTCTCCTTTGGCATGTCGCAGATGGGTCTCTAGCCCCACGCCTGCTCATGTGTACTCATCTATTTTCTCTGATAACTTAATGTGTGCTTAGCTTATTTCTGATCCACACATTTAGGAGGCTTTTACCGTGAGCCAAATTATCTACAGAGGTCTCTTTCTCTCCAAAACAAATGTATACGGTAATTTAAATCAGTAAAAACACTGAAAAAGTGGTTTGATGTTAAGGACCAGTGTTTCTCCTACACTGTGCCGCTAGCCCAGCACCTGCTAATGTGAGCTCACCTTTTTTCTCTGTTAACTTAAGATCCAGAGTTCAGGATGTTTTCACCAGGAGCGAAACAAAATGAATGGATCCAATTATTTTAAGGTGTAAAGATGATAAATAAAGCAGTTGCTTTTATGACACTGCTCATTGCAGAGGAGCTGCTAATTATGGTGGCTGAAGCAAAAACACAAATTGGCCCTATCGAGATCCAGTGATTGGTTTGTCCATTGTGGGCTACTGTAGAAACATGATGGTGCAGCGGACTCCATGAACCAGGTCCTGTTCCCATTATGTAGATATAAACGGCTCATTGTAAGGTAATGAAAGCACAACAGTTCTTATTTTCAGGTGACTATACACTAAAGAAAATATACTTATTACATTATATTCCATTTCTGCCAATATTTCCTGCTAAACTGGATCTCTAAAAATCAAAAATATAACAGATAACTACCATATGTTTTTTAAAAAAAAAAAAAGAGAGAAAAAAAAGGATTAATAATATGTGTATGCTCATTGCTATGTGGAGATCCACATTTTTATTACTATTTTTTTTTAGGAGAAGACCTGTCACCATAGACATTGTGATTTTCTTGGGTGTAAACCGCACCAGTGCATACTGGAAGTTATGGTCCAGTAAAGCTGGAGGAAAACCACCACCTGCGCACAGCTGATAAGCAGCCAAGCCCAGCCTACACCTTGAAATCCTGCCCATGTAGAGGTGACAAGGTGCATCCTTGGAGGAGTTTGATGCCAACCTTGAATTTGCCCTCTGTAGTGCCAAAAATAAAAACAAAACTATCTCTCAGTCACAGCAGCAGCCCCCGCAGCAGTCAGAAAGGCACTTTTATTGCCAAGACAGCAATGTGCCAAGATTATTAAATTCCTCAGGTTCTAGGAGGTTAAGGTGAGGTGCAAAAACACAGTTAGGGTATGAGATATGACCTCTGGTCTGATGAAACATCCACAAGTCATCATTATCGTCAACCTCTGGCATGCAGTGTACACCACCCCCCAGGTGGCAGCCAATGAGAGCACATAGGCCAGAACTCTTTCTCCAAAAAGACGTTACGTACTACCTTTCAACTTCTACTGCTAAAGTCCACAGTGCATAAATGTGCTTCTTATTTCCTTTAATCAGACAAAAATTCAATGCACTACTATACATTCACTGTCAGATATCCTCAGGAGCACATTTCAGCTTTACAGGCAAACTCATGAATTAAACCCATATAAGAAAACCCAGAGAGACGAGCGAAGAGAGGACTTCAGAGCTCAGGGATCAGCCATATAACAACATTACAGGAACTCGTATGACTTCAAAGTCTTGCCCGAGGATACTTCAGCAGAGTCAAAGCATGCTAACATGAATGGGTGTGTGTGTGTGTGTTTCAACTGACCCAAGCTGAAGCTAGCAGTCCAGTGTGTCTTTGTGCAGGTATTCCAGTCAACAGAGGCAGCTGCAGGATGATAACATGCAGGCCTGCTGCTGTGGTGTAGCCTCTGATTACAGGATCAGACAGCCAGCGACACACACCGCCTCCACGCAGCAGGTACACTAGGAGCTAAGGGAACACACACATGTACATACGCAGATTTAGTTTAATTTTTTTCTTTATATCTTCTCGTCTACCCCCATATGATTGTTGAAGATGTGTGCAAAATGCTCCCTCTTTGATTCTGAGTGACACACAACATTTTTATAGTTTTAAAGCTTCAGGGCAGATATTTCCTTTGATACCTGATGTGACTTGTAGTAAAGAAGACTGAGCATTTCAGTGAACAGAGCAGGTTGTGTGGTTGGATGAAATTCTTTTTAATTCCTGCTTGTCTTCAGAGGTTAAAGGTGGGGGTAAAACCGTTTACACTTAGTGTTAGTGTCTTGGGTGATCCGATCACAAATGGACACCTTTTAGTCTGTCTGTTTCTATGTGCATCTCGAGTGGCCACTTGTGACTGGATCTCACTTGGTGAGAGTCCGCCTGCACACATAGTGACAGGGCTAACTGTTAGTAGCTATTAGTATCAGTGAGTTTCTTGGGACCATTTAATAGCTGCTGCTGTGTTAGCTTGTGTCAGCAAGGTAGACATTGAACTGACCGATCACCAGGAGGACAGCAGCTTTGGAAACAGTCCTTCAGCACTGCGTCTAACCTGTAATGGCAGTGAGCAACAGAAAGTTTTCTTATCTGGAGAGACATCAGATAAGCAAGTACGTCGGCCGAGTAGATGGTCATTGGATGTGGCCCAGGACACCTTAGCATCCACACTTTTTAAATAATGACGCAATGAGTTGTATTCACAACTGTACTTAGAACTGTCCACTTGTGATCCAATCGCCGATGACACATGTTAATACCAGGGTCTGAACAGGGCCTGTGAGCCTGTGCATTCTGTTTGTCCATGTATTGTCTAACGTGTGTGTGTGTGTGTGTGTGTGTGTGTGTGTGTGTGTGTGTTTACCTGTATGAGGCCACAGAGGACGGTGACTTGTACAGCCACGTTTACTTTGGCCACTTCCACATTAATATGACTCTCTTCAACACCGTCGCTAAGCAACTCCACGTTGGCTGTCACAGACCCAATCATGATGGCCAGGACGGCAAAAGTACCTGTCACACATAAACAGACACACAAACTGTATACTAAACCCCTTTACTCCCTCCCTGGTTCATGACTATTTGGTGTTCACCTTCACACAGACTTCTACTGTAAGAACCACGTTCTCACAGTGGAGAATTCTCTCACAGCAGAATATTGTACCTTTGATTACACTGCTACAGTAAAAATCACGCAACTACGTCAAGATTTTTATGTGTCTAGAAGATACTAGAAGGTATTTTGTGCCAATAAGAAGACTGCATCAGACTGTTTCTATATGTGGATGCCCTTCCAGAATAAAGGTAGACAGTCACCAATGGAGAGGTGTCGGGAGGTGCCAAAGATGAAGTAGATGATCAGAGGATAGAGAGAAGTGTAGAGACCAAAGACTGGAGGAACTCCTACCAACATGGCGTTGGCCATACCTGGGGAAGAAGACAAGACAAGTTTTGAGCTGCTAGTGTTTATTATTAAAAGCAACAACCGTGAAATATTCTCTTCTTACCAAGGTTCACTGACTCCGCCAGATAAAGGAAGTAGGAAAAGAAGGGGGAGAGGACTACAAGGTAGGCTACAACATACTTAGGGTAATAACACATGACAGTTGGTCATTGTTTAGATAAAACAATAAACTCAAAGATTTGCAAACTGTTAAAGTATCCCTCATCTTTGCAGCTGTAGTTGTCACCCTCTGTGAACGTATTTATTATCCAGAGATACATGTATATGAGTGCACTCTTAACTTGCATCCTTCTAACCTGCAGCAAGTTATGTGATGTTGTTGTGGCAGCTTGTAGTTGTTTAAAGGCTATTAAGAGGAAAAAGTAAAGCCTGCATGCTTACTCCATGCCACAAAATATTAATTAAAATGTTTCAATCCTACTTGGATCTTTGTCAGACAAAATGATTTTGGTGATGTCCATTTTGACCAGACCAAGATCCAAGTAGGATTGAAAAGTTGTCTTTATTAAACTTTTCCTGCACAGAGGAAGTGCGCAGGTGCTACTTTTTCTTCATGTTTGCAGTCTTTTGATAACCTTGCACCTACATGTTGATATATAATAACTCTCCTTCAACTTATTAAACCTGTAAAGACTAATTTGTAACAGGCAAGGGTCTGCTCAAGACACTGCTGTCAAAAGGCAGCGTTGGGGTTTCTTGAAGCCTGAAGCTTTGCCAGTCTTGTCTGTGAGGTTGGCTCAAAGAGGTCAGTTAAGTTGTTGATGGACTGAGGATGTAAGAGACCTGAGACACAGCTGATCCTTGGACTTGGATTGTCCCCCTACCTTCCCTGCTTAATAGGACGCTGACACTGACTTTCATATAGGAGAGGTTAGAGTATCTCATGAGCGTAGGCATTTTTGCTCTTTTGACTGAAAGTATTTGTTTGATAAACTGAGCATTTTAACTCATCGTGTGTTGTGGTCTTTTGCCCCTTGCTGAGTAATCCAGAACCTGTAGGCCCACTGCAAAGTACTGCAGTGGGTGTGTTATACATTGTGTGATTATCATTTGTTGCAGCATCCTCACCCTGTGGCAGGTGCATGATCCCAACACTGACTCCAGACACCAGGTCTCCAATGGCGTTTTCTCTGATGGAGTAGCGAGGCAGCCATGACAAGACAGGGAAAAAGCCCAGCAGGAAGCTCTTCAACCTGGTACCAGAACACCTGGGGAAAACACACACACATAGACACACACTGTTTAAGGTCATAGAGCTTCTGATAAAGGGTCTAAATCATCTGTTAGACCTACAAACTATCTGAAGGCCTTAACAGAAAGGCCCAAAACTCAATCTATCCTTTGACTTACCAACATAGTGCCTTCAACCTCTCCAAAATTGACAGAGACTTCTTTTCTACCCGCTGACCGAGGACATCCAGCTGAGCTTCGTCCAGGGCAACAGCGAGATAAGGCTGCCTGAAGTGAGGAAGGCCATTTTGCTCAATGCTGTCCATCTGAAATTAGTGTCAAAGATTACTGGCAGTTAAGTTTCACTTTGTTCCTGCCACAGTACTGGGTGTTTAATGTTCCTCTTGCACTTTATGTGTATAAAATGTGTGTATGAAGTTACATGACAAAGAAGAGTAGTAGTAACTGTGTAGGTAACCAAAACAAACCAGAGCGGTGAGAGGGGCCAACCTAACCTGTATCGGCCCGAAGCTGTGTGAGTACACAGAGTTCATACACGCACACAGCCCTACGAACTCTCACACGTGAGTCGGGGAAAGTTGAGAACAGCCTTGAACTCTGCACATTACAGCCAGTTTACAGCCCCTTTTCTCCTCCCCTTCACTCCCATTCAGTACGTCTGAATGCCTCTATTATCACAGCTCAGCTTTCAGAGACTCATGGTCTGAATATGTGTGTCTTTGTCTGTGTATGTGTGTGTGCGTGCGTGTGTGTGTGTGTGTGTGTGTGTGTGTGTGAAAGAGAGAGAAAGGGAGTAAATGAGAAAGAAAAATATTTGCTCTGTTTTAATCTGCTTTAATGTGTCCCACTTCAACTTTTTAAAGTCATTCCAATTGAGAAAATGTAAAAATAATTGAAAGGCTGGCATGAGGGAAATGAAGCATGAGTGTCACATGTAGACAGAGAGAAGCTAGAGAGAATGAAAAGAGAGAAAAAAATCTTGTCCTTATAATCTCACAACAATAAGAAATTGGAACAGCAAATTGTAAGAAAAAAAAAGTCAAGAAGTCAGCAGCGTCATGTTATATAGAGAGAATATTTATCTATTTTATGCAAATAAAGTTCAAAAAGTTCAAACCCAAAATGCAGTTTTAAAACATGATGAATACGGAATCTAACAACATATCCAAACAGCTTTGTTTGCTCACAGTAAATATAGAAGCTAGCTTTCTATATCACTCTAGATTTGACAATTGTATGCTGATGTTTAAAAAGTAATGTCCACTGAACAGAAAAATTCAGCTGTGCAGTCAGCAGTGTTCTTCAGTAGTGTATCTGTCTCAAAAGCAGCATGAGGTTTTTGATGCGCTCAGCACGGCAGCGAGGTGACTGGTGCAGCGGCAGCTCGAAGAAAGAAAAGGTGAAGCTCCGAGAGAAGCTGAGGTTGGTGATGGGGCGCAGTGGCGGGAGACGGGGGGGACGAGGCACCCGACGCTGGGGCAAGCACCTCCGTCTTGCCCGCATTCCTCTACCCCCTCCAACTATAGAGAAAGAGAGGGACAGACATGGAAATTGGTGACAAACTAGGAAAAAGGAAGGAGCTCGTACTAATCAAAATCTCAGACGTGAAATTTTAAACTTAAGTGAAAGATAAAGTTGTTTTTGTTGGACAAAGAACTTAAAAGGTCATGGCTCAGGTCCTGCAGATAGTGCTTGATAAACAACTCCCACACTCATGAAGAAGTCCTATAGGTCCACATCTGTTATCTTAGTATATGGATTTCGTTGAATTCACACAAAAGACCTCTTTTACTGGAGTCATTTTAATGTTTCATGGCAAGAAAAGCACAGGTGTGAACAATCTAAGTGAGTTATGTGTTATGGGCAAGTTGCTTAGGAAGGCACTTCACTGAGGGAAATTGTCTGTTACATTGTTCCTTGACCTCATGACATTTTCCGACGCATTCGAGGCAAAGTGTTAGGGAAAGGAAAATATTTTAAAATATTGGACCACAACCCAAATGCCTGCTGGGAAACAGCTAAATGGAATTTAGCCATCATTCATTTCATTATTTACACATGTGCCTTTCCTACTGTTAGCCTACATGTCAAATGTCTTCAGTGAAACAAATCCAGCAAGATAAGCTTGTGCTAATGTTACTGTAGCAAAGGTTAGTCAGGGAAAACTTCAAAGTTATCATGTTGCACAAGTTAATGCTGAGTTTGTTAGTTGACATTAATGATAAAAACGGAATATTTTAACATTATCTAGCCATTGTGATGTAACTTCGGTCACTATAGCTAACAGTTAGCTAGGTTATGATCGTTAGCTAGGTAATGGTTACCCTAACATTAGCTAGAGTGCAGCTCATATTATCCTGTTGGACAAGGTTTCACAGCCAGTAAAATACATGCCATGGAATATATCGTACATTTCCTTCTAAATAAAACCGAAAACAGTGTGTTTTGTTTGTTATGGATTATCTTTATATGTACCTGAACACACCTCCTTCAATACTGTGTTAAAGAAAGATTAAAAAAATAATGGTAAAGAACATTTGGTCTCAATTGGAGTTTTTTGTTGTTTTTTTTCTGTGAGGCAGCATTTTTTTATACTCCACATAACAAAGTAATAAACATTCAGTAGGTTAATATTATTATTAAAAAAACACTGTCTTTTAGCTTTGGTCGCATGGTTAGATATGACCACGACTGGCCCTTATTCCAGACATACCCAGATTGTCCTGAGGGACTGCACCAGGTGGAGACGGAGCCTCAGAGTTAAAACTTGTACTTGAAACTTCCTCGTCTTCGTTACGTCTCCCTCGATAAGGAGTGGACGGCGTCGGCTGAGGAGCAGGAGGTGGTGGAGGTGGAAGTGGAGGGGGCCGTGGAGGGGGGGGCAGGGGGATTGAGGTAAAGGACGATTCGGAGAGAGCCAGGCCTCCCCAAGGCGTCATGGTGCTGTCTGAGAGGATGGTGGAAGACGGCCCCGGGTGTGGGTGAGAGGAAGAGGATGATGTCTGCTGCTGGCTGTGTTTTCGGTGATTAGCTTGACGGGGGCGCTGGAGAGCCGGGGAGGAGACAGGGGCCTTGGCTGTTGTAAGAAAGGGGGGATTAAAGGAAATAAATAAAAAGATACAAGGTAGTGTAGTTAATAGAATAACTTTTAAAATTCAGAGCATATGAGTTGTCTGCACACGGTTCTCAACATGGAGGTGGCTTAGCTTAGAGCCCTGCGCGGGACTGCGCAGCTCCCGCTGAATTTCTGACCATTACCGCCTGCAACCGCAACGTGTGTGTTACACTCCCGCCCGCACCCGCAAAACTCTGAGAATTTATGCCCGCACAATAATAGAGATCGATGATTTTGTGTCTTCTCCTGTCCCGCAGGAAAAAACACGTCATTTTATGGGCCATTAATAAAGAGATTCATGGGGTCGTTTCCCTGGCCTGCATGTCTTTTGACGCACTGGTCAGGAATACCGCTCCTATTTCGTTGTTTACATTTAGTTTTTAATGAAATAAAGGCTGTTTCATATTCTATTCTCCTCCTCTGTATTTTATTTATTTTTCTACCTTTATATAATCACACAGTGATTGAGGTTAAGGCAGGTCTGGTGCCAGGATGAAGTTACTGAGGGGGCGGTTAAAAATTATGAGGGGGCAAATCTTTATTATGCAACTTAGGTTCACAGTGAGTTATAAAGAGCGCGCAGACGTGTGTAATTGTCGCGCGTAATGACAGCTCGTCACCAGTGAAACACAATAAACTGCACGTCTTCTTTCATGTTTGTCTTATGACAGATGGAGCTTACAGACAGACAGACAGACAGACAGGTGGAGCAAGCAGCAAATTGGTATGAAAGCTGGTTCAGGGCATATTCGTCCATTTATGAATAAATATAGAGTGGAAACGCTTATGCATGTGCACCAAGATCCCACAGTGGGTTTTTTTAGCCGCCCCTTCCCGCCCGCAGCAAAGTCCAAACCGCCCGCTCCCACAATATTTGCGTTGGGTCCTGCGGGACCTAGTCCCAATGCAGCCCTCTAGCTTAGCAGACTAGCAGCTAATGCTGCTGACTCCATTGACAGCACTTAATAATGGCTACAGTGCTGACAGAGCTAATGGTGTTAACATGGGGGAACTGGTCGGTGGTTATGTTTCATGATAGTCCCTATATTAGCGGGGGCCGCCATGTGAGCACAGTGCAAATCAGTTGGATACACACATGCACAGACACACACATGCACAGAGAAGCTCAGATTACAACACACAACAGAGGAGCGTAATTCTATGCTTTGCACAGGATGCCATTTCTCTACTATATTTTTACATTGCAAATAGCAGTTTGCTACTATATTAATGCTCTGAATGTTGCATAGAGAACCTTTAACTGAAGCTGTCTACTTTAAAACTCTATTTATTGAGCCAATATATTTCAGCTAGAAGTGCTTCTCTGTTGCAAACTCACTTTATGGTGAGCTGATGAGGCAAGTTTATGTTTACGTAATATTTTACAAAACAGCAGCATCAGCTTAGAAAATATGATGAAATAATAATGTTTATTTCTATCAAATAAACAGACCTTCAAACCAGCAAAGTAATATACTGGCCTGGAGGTGTTTATGAAATTCAGCTGAAAGCCTGCTGCACCAAAATTATTTGTTCTGAAAGAAAAAGCCTGCTGCAATCACCTTCTGTAAAAAGACACTATATGTAGATATTAAAGGCCAGCAATAACTATTCAGAGAAAATTAAAAACTACTTTTCTTGCAGGGCTGTTGTGTTAAAGTGTTGGTGTTGATTCACAGTTTTCCATTAAAAGATCACTATAATTCTTTTTCTTTTAATTGGTGTGTATTTAGCATTATTGTCTTAAGGACCACAGTGTTTGTAGTTATATGGTTTATTTCCAGCATCACACAAGCAATATTAACAAGTGAATAATTATTAAGAATAAGGGAATAATCTGGATATCATCATGTCACAAATAGAAATACTTCTTTTTTTGATTTGTACCTCTTAGTGGTCCTGTAAAAGAAACCTAAATTCACCTTTAACGGATATCCAAGGTATACCCAAAGTAAACTGAAAGCTGTTCTTGCTCCAATTTTTGTACATGTTCATGTACTGTAGCTACATTTATGTGCATGGTCTCATTTGAAAGGTATAACTAGTTTTTTCACCAACAGTCAGATTCACTGTAAGTGCTTCTGCCATTGAGTTATAAGTTACAACACAAACAAGAGCAGTTGCTGGATATCTACGGATGTAATAATGTGTTCAGACTAAATATTTCACCATACATAAATTGACTGAACCACTGTCAGTGTATGAGAACTGTAGAGGGAGCGTTTCTGTCTGGATGACATCGATCTGTGGATTAAAATTATGCTTCACAAGTGAGTAATAACTGTTTATTTGATTGATTTTTGTCTGACAGAAGCATTTATTGAGCCTGCTGAGGTATCATGAAATGGTTAGCTTTAATGGCACCATGAGGATCTGTAGCTCTCAAACAATAGGTCATATGAGTAAACCACTTAAACAACAAATACAGCAGTTGTCATCAAATAAAACCTTACGAGGGCCCACCGGTAGGTCGTTTGATTTTTGCAGAGTCTGATTAATGTAATATTAAAGCCCCAATTGTAGTACCTAAATTTTGAAAATCAAAAAATACACTATACACTTACTTATCATTAAAAAGTAATACTGTAATCTCCAAAGCATGCTTGTGCATATGCTCCAGCAGCATAATAGCCTCTGTAACTGGAGAGGTGAGTGGGTCATGAGTGGATCACCTTTTGTTTTACTCCCAGATGAACCAATGTGAGGGAGCCGTTCACGAGACATCACCAATCTGGGGCCTGGGCAGAAATAAATGTGGTTATTTCACAGCTGACATGCTCATACTTGCAGGAAACAAGTTAACACTTTACAGTGTGCCTTTTCTTCATACACACAGTGGACTGCCAGGAACACATTGCAATACAAAGATGCATTTATTTTGGTTGACAATATCAGCATGGCTTTAGGGAAAGTGATGTAGGTTGGTTGGTCTGTCCATCGCTGTGTTCCAGGCTGAAACATCATGACTACTTTAAATTGGATTGCCATTGCCACATGAGGACATGTTCATGGTCCTCAGAGGATGAATACTACTGACTTTGGTGAACCCCCTGACTCAAGCAACACCAGCAGGTCCAAGTTTCACTTATCCTGTTAAATATGTCAACATTTACTAGATACAGTAGACTGACACAAGCATAGTAAACATAGCCAGATCACATTGTCGCTAAGCATATTAGCATACTGGCATTACCATTTAGATAATTGCCTAGAAGTACAGCTCAAACAAAGAAACTGATAAACTCAACTTTGATGTCTTTAGAGTACAATGGGTGCCAACCCTGAAAGTACAAAATAGCAAATGAAGTCGTCCACACTTACAATAAGTAATACTTTTAATGATGCTCAGCAGAAGATAATGAACATATCTCAGCCCTAGGCTTTCCTCAACATTACTGTCACATCATTCTGAGGGAAGCCTCGGGCCGAAACCTGTCCAATTTCTTCTGCTGCCATGCATCAAGAATTACATACTTAATGTGGGTGCTAACAACTTTATCTGGTGTTCTGCCATTAAGTAGAGCCTCACAGAGTCGCTAGCATGGCTGTAGACTCTAAGTCTTATTTCTCTATTCTCCACTCTAGTATTAAAAGAAATTATTTTTCAGTAATCATCGTGTCAGTCACTTCATCCTTGACCCATGACCTAACCATACCCCATGAAGTGTTGAAGTCTAATAAGAAAAGAATACCCCAGTCACAAACGTATGGGACTGAGACCATAACAACTTGGCTGAGGTAACAATTAATGTTGCTTGTGTGCAAAGGTGTAGGTTTCATTTAAACATTGAGGGGGATACATATGAAATGGGGATGAAAATTTTAAGCATCAAACACTTAATTTCCTGTATTCTGGTGAATTTATATATGCACCAGTGTATGGTGTAAATGTCTTTACTTTTGTGAAAAATTAAAGTCTGCTATTTTCATGGTTTTATAGCAGGCACAAATGCACATGATCTACATACTGAGTTGGACGTGTCCCCTGCATCTCTCTGAAATCTACTCCTATGGATGTTTGTGAAACTGTAAGGAAACAGTCATTTTTGCTGTGGTTAAAGCACCAAAAAACTCAAAATATTTCAGCATGTGTACACTTATGATGCACTATTGAGTCTCAACTGTCTTGTTCAAAACTATTTTCTTTTCTTTTCAACATTTAGCTCTTCGGCGAGTGACAGTTTGAAAAGGGAAATAGAGAAAAGGTCTGCGCTCTGTCCTTGCACCAAACATGCTTATAAAAAGAGAAGGATAAGAAATATTTTCCACAATACAGAACATCCTCTTGATGCTGAGTTCATAGAAAGCTGGCATTTCATCTTTGCAGATGATGGTTAAGTTAAGAGACGGGAAATAAATGCGGGAAATGTCACATTGTTAGAAGTAGTGATGGAAATCTGTGAGTGTGCGTAGGCTATACCTCTTCGATGTCACTCCTTCTGTACTTAGGCAGCAGAGCACTTATCCCTCGTCCTCCTGCATCAAGCAAAGCATGCCTCACAGATACACACTACCACACCAGGGTTGTCATAAGCATGCAGGGACAATTTCCCTACCAGCCCTTCATCACTACAGACGTTAATGACTTCTCAAGCTGGCTTCCGAAGTCACTCCCTCTCTCTCCACATGTTGTTTGAAGACTCAAGATGACTAATTCTTATCTTTTCTTAGTCTTGCCTTAAACATAAAATTTATCCCAGATAAACATTCTGTTCTTGGGGAGCATCTTCCTCTCTCATTTTACACTTCCTCACTCATCAGTCAGTCCTCTCCTTCATTTCTCTGCCTCTGCTCACCCCTCTTTCTCTTCTGTGACCCAACAAACATTAGCAGTGACGCTCAGTGCAGCAGGTGCCTTCTCCATTTCTGGCTCCCCCTTTTTTCACCCTCCTCACCCGCCTGCACCTTTACCATGTCAGCACTGTCACTCTCCCTCCTCTTTTCTCTCACCCATTCTTCCCCTTGTAAGTGATAGTGGTGTAACACAGGCACTTTGGCTCTTGCTTTCTCTCCTTCCTTCTTCTTTTCTTTCTGTCCCTTGAACAAAGACGAAGGGTGGCAGGGTTACCCTTGAACGTGGGAACTTTCATCTTCCATCCCCTCTTTTCTCCTCCCTCTTCTTCCCCCTTCACTGTTCATTTTCAGGGTGACATTAACTCTCCATCTTCCTCTCTTCCTCCGTCTTTCTCTCCGTTGTGAGTGGCAGGTGGTGAGATGGGAGCTTGACAAAAGGCAACGTGAGACGGGGCTAAAATATTAAAATATTCATGGATACCTGCAGTCGGCCCCTTCATGGGCTCTGACCCCCACCTGGCTCTCTGCACCTACACAAATAGACACACAGATATTGACAAAAGCATGCGCAGGTAGGCATACACACATCTCATTTAGCCAATGTCTTCTGTAACACCAGCATTATAGACACACACACAAATCCACACACACAGGAATTGTGGTACACACATCATCTGATATCTACATTTAAATTCCAAGCAGGTGATTGTGAAGCAACACACACTCCCATACACACACACACTTTGATCTACAGTGTATGACATTTAACGTGGAGCAGGTGAACATGCTGCTCGCCGTCTCACACTTCATCTGACACAGCTACATTTGCATACCAGGCCGACACACACACACTAAATATGCAAATAATTGTGCACACACTTCCATATCAACCTGCCACTTAAGCGGTATTAGCATTTCATATCACAACACATTCTTCTTCAATGGTGCTACATTAGCATTTCAGCACACATGCACATGCAGACACACAACACGATCACAGTGTGAGTGGGCACTGTTATACAAACCCTCACCTTCGACCAATCACACACTCCATGTTCACACTTGCACATAAAAATGGGGTCTTTAATGATCCCAAAAAAAAAAACACTTTCTTTCTCTAGCTACATGTTGCTGGATACACACAGGTTGGTGGGGACTGGACAAAACTTCAGGGCAAACATTCAAAATTGGTCTTCACAAATTCAAGTAGACTTCCAGAATTGAAACCACAACTCCACAGGACAAGTCAAGTCTACTCAGGGATTCACCCCACTTTACGGGGTGTCATTTATTTTAACAAGTTGTGCAGATTGTAACATTGCACTCACTTGTTACAGTTTGTATATGTTGCCCTTTTCTTATGTATCATGTGTGATCTACTGGTTTTAAAAGGGACAGCTCACTCCCAAATCCAAAATACATAGTTTTCCTCTTACCTGTAGTGCTATTGATCAATGCAGATTGTTTTAGTGTGAGTTGCTGAGTGTTGGAGATATCGGCCATTGATGCACACTTCCTTCTGTGAGGTGATTCAGTTGTTGGGTATAGTGTGGTTGAAAGAAAATACTTCCTACATGTAACTGCTCACAACAAGGTCTGTGGTTTATCTTGAGTAGTTGGGTCATGATTTCTGGAAAGAGACATTACTGTTGAGTTTTTCAAGTGTATGTTTTTGACGCTTTGAGCACCACAAGCTGAGTGCCATCTAGTTCCATTATATTGTAGAGAAGGCAGACATCTCTGCGGCTGATATCTCCAACATTCGTCAACACACAACCAAAACAACCTTGACAGATGAACACCACTACAGGGAAGAGGAAAAATATGTTCTCTTAATTTTGGGGTGAACTGGCCCTTTAAGTCTGTCACAATGCACCGATGATGTGTTTTTGTGGGCATCTCAGGAGTTGGTGTTGCCTGGGTGACATTTTAACCATAAACTACATATAAGCCGTAAATCTCCCAAATATTTTGTGGAATTTGGAGACATTTGGTGAAGTCTTTGGTTTGGCCTTGTTCTTACTGAAAATTGAGTCCCGAGACTCTCCTCAAGTACACGGCTTTATTTCCTGGCTGGTCGAGATGTAATATGCTGTACTGAAAATAACACCAGTCATTTCAGCCATCTTTGTGCAGTGTTGCGCTGCTCCCTAAAGGAGGCCACAGATGGCTCAAACACATCAGAGATGGTTTAAATGTTCTCTTGAAATGACAATGAAGATTTAAATCTTTTTAACTTAATGAGCACCAAATGGTTTCGGTGCTGTTACAAGCAGAAATGTCGCCAGATTCCAGACCCACACTTTGGATTTTTTTCAGGCTAGCAGAAATTAACAACAGGCTTTTGACAAACTCTTGTAAGTCTAAAACTCTGGGAGAGAAAACTGTTTTTATTTTTTGGTGATATTCCTGCTTGAAGTATCGCCTCTTCCCAAAATAGAATTTAGATTTTTTTAAAATTCCTATTTATTATATGTTCATTGAGCCGAATAATAAATAAATGCCTAAAATAATTATGTACTCTGTAAATAATGAGAAAACTGGACAATAAATAAACTTTATTAAAAATGTAATTTAAAAAACTACCAAAGTAACATTCATTTGATATCAATTCATGCAGCTGTTATTAATGAATTTTACAGCTCATTCATAAATATATATTTTTAATTGTGTCCATAGAGAAAGTGATTGTTTGGACCACTGCTATCTTTTTATTCCACTTATGTTGACTTTACCGGCAAAGTCACTTTAACTCTGTGATCCACCTTCTCCTTTTCTCCTCCTGCGGCCCACACCTCTGCATCCATCTCAGTATTTTGGACCCGTAGTAGCTGGAAGCCCTGACCGCAGACCAGCACCCATCCCATCTTTGTTTTCTTGCTCTCACAGGAAGCCTTGAAACCCATCTCAGTGTTTACCTCACTCTCTGTCTCACCCACGCTGTCAGTCTCTGTTTGATTTCTACATTCACCAGCTGTCTCTCCTCCCTTCTCATCACTGGTTTGACAAACTGGGTCACCTGTCTCGCTCATGGCTTCAACAGGTCCTCCATCCTCGGCCTCGCCCAGTGTTTGCTTATCTGTATTGAACTGTGCTGCTGTCTTACACAGCGTCTTTAATCCTGTCTGATTTCTCTTCCCTCTCCAAATTACAATCTCCTGCTCAGGCTCAAATCTTGTTTCCCTCTTTTCATTTCCCTCCTCCTCCTCAATCATCTGGCCTTCCCACACTGCCAGTCCTGCAGCATCTGCAACATGTGAACACAGCGCCCCAGCATGGCTGATACTGGTAGTGTTGACCCTCCACAGGCAAACCCTCTGATCTGACGAAGTGGAGACCACCAGGCCTGGGCTCAGGAGTTTCAGAGCAGTCAGCGGGGCGGCGTGAGCCAGCGGGATGTGGGACTGGGAGTGGAGATGGAGATGAAGCTGGTTTGGGATTTGGAACTGGGTTTGTTGAGAAATCACTTGTTCAGAAATCTGAGAAATCCCTCTGCTGCCCCCAGTCTCTCCGTCCTCTGGGTACTGCACCCTGATCGTGGACACTGTCAGCTGCCCATCATCCCCACCGCTAGCAACAGTTACCAGGCAACCGCCCTCTTGTTGTCCCAGTTTCTCTGCCCAAACAGCCAATGAGTTGACGCCGCTCTGGTGGGCGTGAATATCGAGGCAGGGGATTGGTGGAGTTGGAGCACTGCTCGAAGTAGTGGTTGATAAAGAAGAAGCATCAGTCATATCCCACACTGCAATTCTGCCATCTGTTGCGGCACTAAACAGCAGCTTATACCTGAGAGAGGGAAGTTAATATAAACATGTACATGAGAGATGGCTTTCTTCATATCTTCCCAAAAGAAAAAGAGTTAACATGTCAGAAACTGAACCTAAATTTACTGAGCTCTTAAAGGAGCAGTGTGTAGGATTAAGTGGCATGTGGCGGGGAGGATGGCAGATTAAAACTAACTGAAACTTCTCTTATACGCCAAGTGTGAACTACCGATTAGGATTGCATTGTTAAGGAGGTTTCTACTGGGAGCCAAATTATCTGCAGAGGTCTTCTCCTCCCCAAAACAAACAAACCAGGTGATTAAAAGTAGTAAAAACGCTGAACAAAACAGTTTCATGTCACAAATCAGTGTTTTGCAAAGCTTTTCAGCTGTTCATAGAGAGGCTGCTAACTATGGTGGCCGACACAAAAAACCACAAATGGCCCTATCTAGAGCCATTTGTTTGGTTTGTCTATTGTGGGCTACTGTAGAAACATGGTGGTGCAACATGTCTGACTCCGTGGAAGAGGACGTGCTCCCTATGTAGATATAAACAGCTCATTCTAAGGTAATAAAAATGCAACAATTCTTATTTATAGGTGATTATACACTACAGAAAACATCTAATTATATTACATTTAATTTCTGCCAATATATCCCCCTAAATCCTACACACTGGACCTTCTTTTTTGAAATGATGTGCTTTAAAATAATATAAAACAAGTATCGAAAAACAATCAGTGGTCTGGTTCTGATGGGTTCCTACAAAGCAAGACTACCAATGACTTATAATGATGGTGACAACAGTCACCTAATTCAGGTCCAGGATGTAAGAACAAACAAACAAATATTGTCTCACCTGTTTCCTTTTCCATCCTCTAGGCTGCAGGCGGAAACGCTGAGCACACAGCGCTGGTGGTAAAACGTCTCCCACAACAAATCAATTTGATGTTTAACTTCACTGACTGAGAACAACCTGGAAGAGACAGTAATGTAGGTGAAAAGACAGAAAAGGAGTGATAAAACAAGATCAAACAGCATCACAATGAAGACGATAAAAAACACATGGAGAGTAAATATCTTCAGCCACATTTGAGCTCTACTTCGCCAAGTAACAACATATACTCTCTCACATTCCGCTACAATCATCATTGCTACCCCTAATACTAATTTGGAGAGCATTAAAACAGTTGGAAAACATTCTGTCTTTATACTGTAACACTTCAGCTCATGAGAAAGAACTTTTTTTAATTATGCCTATGATGGGCACTGACCTGAGAGCTCCGTCACTGCAGGCCAGAGCCAGCAGAGCACAGTCTGTCTTCTCATCCACCACCGCTACAGACATGTACCTGAAACACAAAGACACAACTGGTAAGACTGGAACAGATATAGATTTCAAAAAATGAGGTGAATTATGCTTCAAATGAAATACAGTAGCTGATATTCTTCAGCACTCAGCACATTTTTCCTGTAAAAATCTCTTATATACAGATTTCAAAAAAATGTCTGAGAAAGTATACTTTTCTTGATGAAGAAGGGAATAAAGGTAAAAAAAAAAAAATAGGACAGACAGAAAAAGCACTGTAAAGTACCGGGACATGGAAAATTCTGTCTCTACGAGGATAAGGAAGGAACCATTAACTAACCTTGTTTCTGGGTCCACTTTCACCGTCTTGTGTCGGTTCCGCCTCCTCTCCCACTGTTCGTCCAATCGGTTACTGGCCACCTGGATCACCTGGCAGGAGGGAACCAGTCTCTGCCTGTCCCAGCCGATCAACAACCGGTAGCATTGCATCTGAGCTCGCCCGCCAGCTGACACGAGCAGGGCAGAGAGAGACTGTGTCTGATTTTCACTTCCTCCCTCTGAACGTGTCACGGCTGTCACTGTCCGAACGCTTGAGATGTGGTCAGTAATAACTGAGAGAACTCTGATGCTGCCAGAGTTGGGATGTACCGCCAAGACAGTTAAGCTGGTGTCCTCTCCTCCTGTCACTACTATCTCCCAATGCCCCTCCTCTCTGTCCTTTGCTTC